TCTGATTTGGAAAACTCGACGGTGAGTAATTTCCTTATACTTTAATTTTAATATTCCGCGCCCAGTAGTCAATGATTAATATTATTTAGTTAGATAGTCATGAGGTCAAATTTTTAAATCAAATATAGAAATAACGCATATATTTTCCAATGGAAATCAATTGCCAAAAAATTGTTACTGAAATAATGTACAAGTTATGAGGTTTGCGTGTTATGTTGTGCCAACAAAAGAGCTAACTTAGTGTAACTTTATTTAGTTAAAACATCAGAGTTACTTAATGTCTCTGACAACCAAAATACCCAAACTTAAAAAACCCATTATCAACTCTAGAAACTCACGTCAAGCTCAACCAATTCTCCAATTACTTCATAAACAGCCAAAGACGAAGAACACAGACGAGCCTACTATTGCTATGACAACTGAAGCCATTAGCAACGACCTGTATGGCCACTTGTTATGGGACAACCCGGTATCTAAAAGTCAAACTACTGGGAATGACTACAGCACACTAAATGCAACCTCGTGTGAAAAGATATCGGGTAGATCTTATGAACGATCGATTCATTATGCTTCCTTATTATGGGAAAAAGAACCAGAACCGATTCCGACTAAGGCTGTTGCAAAGGATGCAGACAAACTTCCAATTCTACACAAGATCAAGGCCCTGGGGCGACAAATTACTGACACCTCGTAAGCTTTAAAAACATTACTAGCAACCTGTATTTAGTATTGCTTTTGTATCTGTGAGCCAAATTACTATAACAAGATGACAGTTTTTTCTTAGAAAAAGCCCTTTAAATTTATGTTAACATTTATGCAAAGAAAGAGAAGACAACGCTGGTTATTTTATAATGATATTGTTAAATTTCCAAAATAGCACACGATAAAATGCAATCCATAAGATCAAATGTAATGGATTACACTCAAATTCTGTCAGGCAAATGAAATCAAAGTCAACTACAAGGCCAAAATCTGCGCTCACTAAATTCCGCAATATTTCAACTGTAAAGCATGTTCAATTTTAAAAAGGTGTTATTAGTAGAACAAATTCTGTTAGTGTTACTTTTACCGGGACTCATACACAAAGCCCTAAGTACAAAAAACCAAACCTCTTCTCCAGTACTTTAAAAAATTCCTCCGCTGTAGTGCAGAGACAGGAAACGCATGCGCTACAACCTCCTTAAGTTACAACATGACAGCACTTCCTGCAGAAATCTCTTTCCTCTCACAGCCAGAGGGAGAGTACACGTTCAAATACGCCACCTTATATACGGCGTGGAAGGAACGATTTGCCACAAGATGAATGGGACAATAGAGAAGGAACAGCCGGTCTGAATAAAAAACTTGGTATTCATTAATTAAAAAGGTTTGTAAAAATATATTAAGAATGCCAAATGCTTGCATAGTATAGTGGTAGAGCTGCTGAATACTTAACAGTGTGAAACAGGAAAGGTATGCATAAATTATATAATAGGTTATTCTGAGTTAATGAACTAGTGTCCAAATAGACGATTTTTAATGAGTAAAGCATTTATGACATTAGTACTCTCGAATGTGCTTAGGGATATCTAATAAAAGCCATCTACCGGGGCAAAATGAAGCTTTCAAAATCAAAAAGAAAACGGCCTTCTGGGAAAATTAATAGATTTTATATGACTTACAGAGATAACGGTACATTGTGTAAGAAATGTGCATAGATATGTCATTTAAAACTTAAGTACCTTCAGAAAAAGGGGTATTTATTGACATTCGTACAGATTTTACTAATAAACAGCTAAAACGGAGAAAATGTACGACAAATTAATCTTTAAGAAATCGAAATTTTGGGATAACTTAAAGGCAGAACATTGCTTAGGGGTTTTAATTAACTGAGCGACGATACGCGGTGCAAATCAATTTTTCGTTGAATAAATACTTAATAAAGTTGAAAAAAAGTAATGATTTAGGGATGCTAAACTCTGTCGTTTCAATATAAAAAAATTACCTTCTTTGGAAATGTCACCGTGTATTCATGCTGGTTAATTCAAGTGGTAAATAAATGCCAAATTGAAGAGTATTATATTATTTGGCAATTTGTGATGTTAGGAAGGCACTTACGTAGATGATACATTGAAGTCTACTGTTTTATTTGAGACTAAATAAAAGCGGTTTTTCAATTGGCCAATGACAGTAAGTATACGAGTGTCTACATAATCGAATACCCAGAATTAAAAAAATAAGAAAGCAAAAATTCCAGTGTCATTTACAGTTAACTTAGTTAAATCAGGGATAAGGGTCATAGATTGTAATTACCTTAACAAACGTTAATTTAATATAAGCACAAAAATTGTTGTTTTATGTCGAAATATTAAATGGCCGCAAGGTAGTTTTGACCTGATAAAGGTTCTAATGCTTTACATATATATATCGTTGTAAAAGGCATACTAAGCAGGGACAGAAACCGGTTAGCCACTGTCAGCCCGTTCCTCTAAGATAGCTACATCCTCAAGGTTGACAACCAGAAATACGATTCAAGACTAAGAGTGGCAATCAGATGCAAAGGGGCTAAAGGTTTAAAAGAGTGTTTCTGTTAAGATAGGAATCGGATGGTTACAGGGAGGGTCAGAGTTGCCCTCAGCCCACGGGAATGCCTTGAGGAAGGTAAACTGGAGATAAAAAGGAGGGGTTGTGTGCCATGGTCTAATGGCTCGCGTTACACCTCCTTTTATCCAAAGACATTTAATTTTATTTACAATACTTAATATGAAGCATGAAATTAACTTTATCTGCAAATTTTGAGTCCTTATCATGACTGATTATGTCAATAGTAAATTATTATGCCAAGTAAATTCACCACGAAATAAAAGGGCCTATGAATTTAATCCAGCTCGAAGGCGCTACCTTGTCATCTGCAAACATATTAAAAGTTGGTGAGGTGGACATACATACGTTTGCCTGATAGCTAAAATAGGTTAGGTTGGTTACGCAGCTGGGCTTTCAAACAGCTCTGACGAAAAGTGATGTCGACCATACAGACTTGTTGAAACTGAAAAGTGCAAATACCTGAACGGTTATAGGGCCAAAACAAGCAATGTGTGGGTGGTACATGCACAGAGGTAAAAAGAGCAGACAGTATATCAGGACCGATGCCGGAAATGGTGAAAGAATGACGAAAAATGAGACAACTTCATTATTGGACGTAAGTTAGTGTGATTCACCACAACTTTTGTGAACCATCACGATTACGGTATCTAAATTGTAATAAACGCCAAGATAGTGTCTTATTCGAATTAAAGTATAACTTACAACAATAACTCCACGGAACTGCGTTATCTTTGAATATCTCATTTTGAAAAAAAAAGGATTTTATAATTTTTCGTGTATTTTGCACTTGTTGAGCCCAAAGGTTATAAAATGTATGCATTTTATTATCACTGTTTTAGTAATATTTTTTTTCAAACTTGTATGGAAACAAGTTAAATTCGTAAACAAATGTCCTTCAAATTATTTTACTCACTTGATGCACATTATTTTCTCATGCCACCACTTTGAAGTGCTTGGAGGTTCGAAATGTTCCGTGTCAGTCTGTTTCTCTTAATTAGTAAGTAAATATACTACAATAAACTGTGATTTAAATAGCGAACTGTACCTAATGCAACAACGGAAATTAAGTATTTTACTGATTTTTTCATGAAATGAAATGCTCCGTACATTAATAACATCATATTGGTGGCAAATTCGATATGGATTTTTTGTCAAATAGCGACACATTAAAAGCAGGGTTCCTGATGAAGTAAAAACGCACAGGCTATTAGATTAAAAGCTCATGAAAAACTATTTTTGATTCGAATTGCTTTGCGATTCTATAAATTTCGACCCTGTGAGTGGCCGGATAAGGCTGCAGATATTTTGTCTTGTGCCTTTTGAATAAGGAGTATAGTATAATTATTGTATGTCTGTGTCTTATCTTTTCTACTTATTGGGTATCATAAGACCATCGAAACTAATACTAAGGCATCATAGAATAATGCTTAAATAGCTTGATTTTCTCCTCAATGTGCATCCCCATTATTATTTATTGGTGACCAAAAGGATTGTAACGCTACATAGCACAGTACGCGATTTATTTGAGAATTTCAGGAAAAAAATAAAATAAATCGCATTGTTGTTTTTCATGCACGTAACAAATTTTGTATTATAGATGACATTTCTGTTCTATCACATCAGTCTGTGCGTCCAAGTGATTCTGCCCAATACAACTTAAATTAAATCCGTTAAATACCAGAGTCAATGTTTGGTGAAGCATGCACGCTACAATACTTCATTTAGATTAATTACTTTAGGAAGCATTTTTGGTATTTTTTGGACAGACCGTCACTTTTATCTGATATCAGAATTTGACCTGTTAGTCATACAATCCTATGACTACATGCATCTAAACATGGAGCAGAAGTTGTACCTGATATAATAACTCCCAAACAAAAAAGAGCCTGTCATTCTTTGTTTGCTAGTTATTTTAAAATGCAGGCAAGATTTGTAGCAAACTCTTTATTTGTTATTTTTCTTGGCTCATTTATCTGCACATTTTATGACCCTGTAATCTCTTCTAGGCTCAGTTACTGTTCTCCTCGCACAAACGGGAGAAGATGGATTTGCTCATATTCCGCTTAAAAGTTATACCCTCATCGATGGAATGTTTAGTATACGGTTATTGGAGAACAATGTAGAAAAAAATTACTGTAACCGAATTTTAGATTTCTGTTCCCCTTGGTGCACCTAATGTTTCAGTCGAAGAAAGTGAAGAATATGCCCTTATTCGAATTTCAAACAACAACGTTAATTTTGTCCTTAACAGCACAATAGTTTTGAACGAATATTTTGCAATAACCACAATATCGGTGACGAAGGACGGAAAGGAGATGAAGACCTCAAATTCAGACAAATTTTTAACTTCACGTCATGCAGTTTATCAGTGCGAATCAATTATTCCGGTTGAATTTCTTGATCACCCAAATGTGATAATGGAGTTTGCGAAAATGCAATATCGGGCATTTCCAACCACAACCTCTCCAGGTACGCAGCCACATTTTTACTGGCACTCATAGGCTATACTGAGGTTTGTCCGCGTGATATACAGATCAACTTTCCTGTGGCCGCAGTAACTGGGTCAATAATTGGAATAGCGATTATTGCCATTTTCGTCGGGTTTGGGGGCTACAAGTTCCACAAGAAGAGGAAGCTGGAGAAGAGTTTGAAACTAGACGCAGCTGCATCTGCTGCTTCATAGAGTGAATAATCGGTGTAGTCAAATTTGGCATCACCAAACTTTATTTTCTACTGAGCATGGTTTTGCATAAAATAAACTATTATTCTTTTTTCTATTGTGCTTTGAGTATTGTCCAGTCTTTTCATAGTGTTTTCTTAAAAGCACAATTTTAGGTCATTTTTCTCTGTGCAGTGACCCTGTCTTATTAAACACGTAATTCTGCAACACAAATAAACAAATATTCGTTTTTTCACATGTGAAATGGTTTTGAGGGAAACACTACACCAGGATATGTAAAGGCGGAAATTACTGCGGTCAAAGAAAGGAAAACCTTGAGCCCTGAGAACTCGAAAGAAGCGCACGTCGAGCCATATTGTTAGTGGATTTTATCGCGCTAATTGAGTAATGCCGCATGATTGATCTCCCAAAATATCAATCTTCAAAAATAATAGTCAATTTACTTCAGAATGGTTTAAAGAAGTACAAATTAAAAAGGCGTGCTGCACAACCAAACTTCATATTTGGCTACAGTGAACAGTACTAGGACTCAGGCTGCTTAATTTTATAACGTGCCGGGTGGTAATGAAACCACAGGTAATTTCATAATCTACTGGAAGCAAAAAATTGTTATTGTGCACGATCACAGCGTTGGAGCTATTTCAAGTCTTCTTTTAAACCAAGTCACAAATTATGACACAGAGTTATTGTTGTCTTAAACGTTGACCTTTGCTTGAATTTCAACCGACTGCAGGACGGATGTACGGTGTGAAGTTGGTGGAAGGATTATAAGAAGCACTACTTTAGGTAACAGCTGAGAAACATTCCACTTGAAGGTATTCCCTAAGTTGCTAAGGATTTCTAACAGTTGCCGAACACTAGGTAAGCATAGGCCCGGGTGTATTTACTGATGGACATTTCTTTTTTTACCTAATTTTGTTAGATTTCATGGCTGTAACATAAAACTTTACTGGCTCTACACACTGCCTCTTCGATCTGGGTTCGCTCGTAGTCCAGAAATGAAGAAACGCGAGACGCTTCATTGCAACGACGTTATACTTCAAGCATTAGGGAGTTCTCTTTTAATGACGTTGGCTAATTGCATTTCATTCATCGGTTGATTAATTTTGAACAAATATGAAAGCGTTATTATTATGCATCAGCAGCAAGGAATGGTCATTGATCTAGATTATTGCTAAAGGTAAATATTCACTTCCTACGTACCAGGGACATTCACTAGAGACTTACATAGAAATGTGTATGTCTACATAGAATATTTGTTGATGGAAATTTGCCAAGCTAGTTCCTGGACCTTGTAATGACACAGTCTAAATGGTTTGAAGGTTGAAAGCACGTACGAGCATTCAAAATCACAACCGTGACTATGCAAAAAAAATTAAATTTCAAAAGCTTCCCCATAAGAGACGTCAATTTGAGTGATTCATATTGGCAGCACCAGATATTACGAGCCGTCACCTTCTCAGATAGAACCCCGATTTTGAATGTAACAGCTTGTAGATGCTTGTCCAGACAGCATGTCCTCAAAAATTCAACGCTTGACCTGTATTCACATATTTTCGTAGAAAAAAGTTTTAAAATAAAATGTTCCCCACATATTGGTTTGTTCAAATGGGCCCTGCAGAAGGAAGCAAACAGTAATAGCGTCTACTCTGCAAGGCAGCACCAATGTTGGCTTGACCTGTACTACTGCATTCCCACATGAGTTATCCGTTTAATGGTAAGATTGAAGTGGTAGTTGGCATGCAATGCACACAACAAGAGGCGAGTCTACCTTACTGAAGCCTGACATCATGTGAGCGATAAAGGTGTGCGAAGAAGTAGATTAAAAACTGCCATGAGTACACTCGCATTAGTTGAGCCGTGTTGTGTGTTAAAATCCTGGCTTCGACCGGGCAAAGACGCCCCAGTCCTGAGTGCCTTGGGATTACGCATTCATATGGGTTGTTCTTAAAAGTGCACTCTAATGAGTACAATAAGCTAGAGGAATGTTTGACTTCACATATTTTTACCTATATGTGTTCAAAAAGTCCCATATCTCAACGCGGTATGTAGAAAAACATCCGACTTTCATGGCTACACAAAAACCGATAAAACGTTAATTGCTTAAATTCTTCTGGCAAAATCATTATTTATTAAAAAATTCGAAGCATTTTAGGACTTTGGTGAAGCCGTCTTTGACATTCCAAAACCAAAACGCCACAAAAAGTTGACCTATATAGATTTTAACCAATCTAAATACACTCTATCCACTTTATTGTTAGGTTCAGGTAAGCACATGATCAGTAATTAGCTTGGAAATGCATATTTTTATGTGCATACCAGTCTTTCGGGACCTGGTTGCTGTGGGCCGTGTCATTTCGCAGACAACTGAAACAACAAGTGATAAACCTAATGCACATATTTAATGGAAACTATGTAGCAGATTTCTGTGATTATGTTCATGGCAGCAAAGCATAAGATTTTCCCCGACATATACTAGAAATAGTTTCCGCAAGAGTCTGAGTATCTCACGGAACTTTGCCGCCACTATAAACCGAGAGCAATGAATCGATAAGTGTTGAAACACTTTACTGGCATGCTTGCTGCTGATGTCACAGTTTTGTAATTTGCACAGGAGGTGTGTTCTTTTAAATTAAGGGTGTGTGCCTCTCCATAAACCCGATGCCAACACCTAACTGTCTGGTAGCACGTGTGGCTCGTAATGCGGACCAACAATGCAGTCAGTTGCAAGTTCCTACGAAGTCATTAGCGGCATAGAAAGTCGTTAATTTTGGTGAAATTGAAAGCATTTTGTACCCACGAAATTTACTGTGGTACAAAATACAAGATATTCAAATTGCCTGAGAAGAGGAGAAACTTGCCTAAATACCACTATTTAAATATTAGTGACCACAGTGTTTTTGGCCACATTTTAGCACTCATTTGGGAGCCAAAGATGGCCTGTTCCCTTGAAGTAATAAATAGGTTAACACAGCGCTTTTAATCCTGACACGGTTCTACAATGCCTAACATTTTACATGCCATAAGTCTTATTGAAACTTCTTACCAAATGAAGGAAATCTTTGAAAAGAACTAAATTAGATAAAGGGAGCTGAGGAGAAAGTGAAAGACAATTTGAGTAGAATTTTTGATTGGCACTTAAAGAACGTACGTAAGGGAAAACGATTACAATGAAATACACTAATTTCATGAAGGCTGTTGTTGTAGATATTAGACGTTCGAACTTAAATGATATTTTTGGAAAGTAATATTGTCAAATTGCTAGAATTTCGGAATTTTTTTACTGAGAGGGCTTTTAAAGGACACAGCCAATTACCTGGACTTGTTGATACTTTTGCTGAAAACAATATCATTAAGCTTGATGACACAAACACACTTTGATTTTTTTTAAAAAAAACTACTGACTTAACCCGAGTCGGAAAGTCACAACATTTACTCAGCCATCTCCTATTTCGTCTGTGGATCAAAACGTTTACTGTCTGGAATTTATCATAATGTGGCATCAGATAGAAAAGGTTATAAAACTACGATAATTAAATGATGTGGTTGTGGTCTATGGCCAAATTGAGTGTGTGCCCATACATAAAACACATTAAAATAACAACAAACATATCATTGGACATTTGTACTCATAAGACTTGGGCGAATTTAAACCCCGTAAAGGGCCACATATAAGCTCGAAAAAGCTAATTTTATACATTCGGGTCCGAAAATTGAGTCTGTTTTAATAAAATACATTTAGAAGTAAGACGCGACTGGTTTATTACCCACTAATATTACTAGAAAAAATTATATGAAGGAAATAAGAACACGTGCATAATTTCATTTGCTACCAATGGTAAGAGTTAGTACACAGATAAAACTGGACAGTGTGCATTTTTTTAACTAGCACATAAGTACAGATGCAAATAGACGGCTGGCAGGACTCTCGTAAATCAGATACCATGATTACTAAGCTGGGGAGGCTGAGGCCTTGCCAATAACTCGCGCTTCGCCGCCACCCGTGGAGGCTGGCACCGGAGGCAGTAGACCTTTGCTGGTCATTTTCATGTACTCAACCTCGTAGGACTGCAGCTCCTTGTCGCGATCATACAATCGAGTGAGAATAATGCCTATGGCTGAAACCACCACGACGATGAAGACCGAAGCGCCGATTCCGATTGTCAGCGTATGGTCCTCGTGTACGTCGTCGCCGCATGTTACTCCTAAAAATTGTCATTGAAATCGTAGGGCATACAAATTCTTAAAAAGCATATACACTCAAATTGAAAACACGAAAAGTTTCAAAACACTATATTAACATGTCATTTTATTTTCACTATTTTGGAAGCACTAGACTCTGACCAGTGTAGTATCATTAAAGTGACCCTATCTCTTGCTGAGAAAAGGAGGTTGACTGGTCAAAAGATTCCCGAAAATTCCGAAAGCTGTTTTCTGGTTTTACAGGCAATCAGTAAAAACTCATTCTGAAACCAGTGTGACTTCCTTTAAAAACACAAATGAACAGCTATTTTTACGACCTCGATTTTACATTTGCATTCAGTGTTAAAGCTTCAGACTTACTTGCTTAAGTAAGACCAGGTAAATTTACCCCTATTCACGCAAGATTTAAACGAGGTCTCACGTCGATTTGAGCATGCTCTGTTAACAATGTACCTCCTTTACACAATGTTCAAACAACAGTTTAAATACCACCAAAAAGGCATTTATACCTGTGAAAACAAACAAGTAACATAGTAAGTAGTTAAATTAGTTTCCTGATTACAGTTTGGTATTATACTAGTCTGGCTACTATATAAATCTGGTTGAGTAAATTGTGGTGTACTGATGGGTGAAACTATGCTAATCATGAAGCACGTGGAAGGTCAATAAAAACACGCACCTAGAAATTAGCATACCTGCTCTTTGCTTCTTCGACCACCACGCTTTTGAATTGTAAAGACTTTTTAAAGACACTGGGTAAAGGTAATTTATACCTAAATTCGACATCGTAAAACAGGGCACGCTTAGCTGTTATGCATTTCCGCGAGCAGACTATGAACACGGTGAGGAAAATGCGTGTGCATGCAAGCACAATACTAAACGGTGAAACGAAAGGCTTTTAAGATAGAAATACTTTGAAACGTAAAGGGTGCTAAAAAACAAGCAAAATAAAGATTTGTGGCACAATTTTTGCCTGCAGTCGCATTTAAACCAAGCTTCAATATTTCCTAGTCACCAAAGTTTATCAACGACACGCATTCTGCTCAATCAAATCCACGTTAATTCAACAAAAACTAAACTTAGTAAATCCTTCACCTAATCAAGGCTAACTCACCAGAACCGGTGAATTTGTTTTGGCTATTGTCACTAAACGACTGGAGACGAATACTACGCGTTGTCAAAATGACTTGAGGTCCTTTAGTGGTGTCTATGGAGGTAGTCAGGTTGCCGGTCGGAGGTGCAGTGAGAAGAATGTGTCGACTAGACACGCACTGGTAAAAGTCGCCAGCGCGTGCACGAAACCTCTCCATGTTGTCACGCACAGCAACGAGGCCGCCGTCCGCTAAAAGAACGCACGAAGACGGTTAGTGCCGACTTCCTCGCCTTCAATGCCAATCTGCATTCGCGCGACACCCAATCGACTTGTGCTCAAACACCATGCCTTGGGTTGGGAATTAGTAGATTTGCCAGGTACTCGTCTGAGGGTAGAAAACAGTAACGCATCGGCTACTACTTTGTTTGTAGTTACAGAAAAAAACAATTAGCGAAACCTTAGTTGCAGGGCTAACAGCCAATACCAACGTAAAAGGCAAAGGCTAAGAGTTCGGTACCGTTAATCGATTGTTCGCTTTCCTGAAGTGATCAAAATGGTGGGGTCGACGAATGAAAACTTAGCAGTAGGATAGGCCGGTCATTTGGGGGTTCTTTTAATCTAAGAACCACTGGAATTTTAAAAAGTACTAAATTGAAGGTGCTCTGTGGATAATTAGCCAGTATTTCCTAGGGCTTTCGTGCAGCCCCAAGAAGTGTGTTGACTGGTGTCTGCCAGAAGGGTCTGCGGTCGAGTCGGTGGCGAGTGCAATTTTTCAAAAAAACAGTTTGCGACCAGTCGTCTTTTAACCGTCTAGACTGAAGGCTGATGAATTATGCTTCATCGAGCAGGGGAATGGTGGCTTTACACAAAAGCTGCTACTGATGAGTAAAGTCGATATTACGAGGTTTACTACCGCCTATCATTCTAGTTGAGGCGACCACTGGGGTGGTTCACGCCAAGACATGCCTTTAGGAAGGTTAGACAATGTTGAAGGTGCATCTTCTTCACCAAGCAAGGGACACAAATGTGTTTAAAAGCAGTAAAGTGCAAAAATATTTTTCTTAATAGAGCTCTAAAGATCCATACACCAGTCAACCGAACGAAGAACTGCGTTATTGTGATGCGTTCAAAAGTGTTCTACAAATGAACAAAGCGCCACTGATTCAATGTTACTGGGTCAAAAATTAAGGCTTTAACATTAAACTGTATAATTTAATAAGGCATTCCTGAATTACTTCTTCACTGGAACCTTCATAGAGGTCGGATGACGTACTGTTGCACAAAAAACAGCGATTGACTTGGTGAGAAGACAGCTGCACTACGCTGTTATCCACTTTAAGTGATCAAAGCCGCCAAACTTTATGTGAGTTGCTTTTAATCTCGCCGACCTACTTGAGCTCATGGACATCCCACATGTCAATAATGTACTTTTTGTGTAAAATTTGCTGAAAAGGAGGTTGGTGACGTTCCCGCGCCAGCAACAAGACACGTGCTGTCTTCAAAACCAACCGCCAAGTGACGTTAGTCGATAAATGAAAGCAAAAATATAAAAAAAGGTTTTCAGAAAGGTCACTCCTTCTAATTTCGTACCAGTTTGGGCACAGATTGACGTATTTAAAAAAATGGCTCGTGTAAAAATACCCACCATGTCCGTTACTACCTGGCCAAGGCTGACACTATCTAAACCAGACTCGGTGTCCCGATGGATTGAATTAATCCAAATGAACTTTAATATTGAAAAAAGTTGACCTGACTTGCTCAATTGTAAGCGATGCTAAGGGTTATTTAGAACTTTATTAAAAGCCAAAAGTAAAGAACGAAACAAAGGGAACGGAAGTAACCGGTGGTGAACGCATTCAGCATAGACGTTGACCACAACAAGCGAATTCCAGGATAGGGATAGAAGTGGCTGTCAGTGGGTGCTAGGTCAAAATGCCATTGGTATGTGGCTCTCTGCTTCTGCCCTCTGGGTAGAAAATAGATCACGTAAATGAGTCGAGAATAATTACATAGTCCAAAACACAAACAGATCTCAATCTGCTCGTCACCACTTGGAGGAGCACGTCGAGTGTTACAAAGTACACTACACACACACACACATCGGCATACACAAAATCATGCACACTTAAACAATCAAATTATCAAGCCTGGATGCTTAGGAAATTTTAAGACTTGAAACATTGTCGGTCAGTTATGGCGTCAGCGATTAGGAAAATTTTAAGTAGATGCATATTGAAAGAGTATGGCAGCTAATTTGGCTCGCTCTAATCACATTCCACGCATCTATAATATGCCGTTTTGAATCTTTGCAGTCACGATTCAAACAGGAGAAGGCATTACAGGAGTTAGTGAGGTATTAATGACTACCTCTTCACTTCAAATTTAGGCACTGGATAGCACCGAACAGTGCAGTGATGAGTATGGGGCCCAGGGAACGGTGGGAGTGGAAATGAGGCGCTAACCTACCTTCCGCTGGATCGGCATCTGGAAAAAGAGAGAGGCTGTAGTCCAGTTGAACCTTCGTGAGACTGAAGGTCCCTGAAAGCGCGCCGACGTGGGCGCCCACGCTGCTCCATCCCACCTCACCGTCCTCGTAGTACTCAGCCTTACGACGCCAGGTGAGTCTGATGACCCAGGGCGGTAGTCCCCCCACAGGATCAAGATAAACACCCATTTCGCGGGTCTTATTGTCGCAGGTTGTCAGAGCAGACTCCGAGATTATCATGGAGCTTGTAAGATTGTGTCTCCTTTTCTTATCCACTGGAACGAGTGAGGCCGGACGAGTTGCATTTCGTGGGACCACAGTATTTGAAGTGGAGGAATTAGCAGCCGGTGGCGCCAGACGGACGATTTGGCATCTTGTCTGTAATAATAAATGGTTGCGAGAAAACATGTTCCCGTTTATTATGGATAAGAAATCACAAAACCGTGTAAATTGGGTTTCCAAGTTCGTTTATGTTTACTTAATTATTTTAAGTAACAAACATGAGGCGAAAAACTGACAGAAGGGAAGACCTTAAAGAATTAGCGTGGGAAGAAACCTAACACACGGTTTCGGAATGGCTTGGATTAATATTGATTACCCTAATGGTACTTTAAAACAAATTAGCAGACTAATCAAGTTAAACAAACAATAATCATCTTTGCCCGGGAATCGGTGGAAAACTTTACAAACGAAGACCTCATTTTCGGTAAAAGGTGATTCGCGCGAGAATCGTAACATTTGCCCTTTTCCGCGACTTCTGGTCTTTGATCAAAGGGCGTTTTGCTGACCACATTGACACGAGGTTGAGTTTGCGTAATTTGCAACTTGTGAAGCTTAGGAACATGGAGGAGACGAACGAGTGCAAGTAGAGCCATTCACTAACACGTGGACAAAAGAATAATGTCGCATGTGTATCAAAAATTGGTTTTGTCATTAGAATAAGCAAATTAGTTTGTCTTATACAAACAAACAATTGGGTAAATATTTTGCTCTGGTGTAATGAAAAACTTGACCTTAGTTCTTTGTTTACATAGAAATCGAACGAGCATTTGGTAAGCTTGACCTTTTTAGACAAACCACATCAATGCATTTAGACGTCTTTAGGTGGAACAACAAAGTATCCTTTGACTTAGGCCTGGATTTGAGTCACATCCTATATTGCAAACTTGATTGCTACTCTATTCGACAGGAACTTTAAAGATTCCCTTTTAAAACAACAACAGACACAAGGACTAAAAATTGTTTTAATTTCACGTAACGACAGCCACAATTATTCTCAAACGTGTGCACTTTTACACGTACACATTTAGCTTAGTAAATTTATTATTCATGACCTTATTTCAAGGCCATACAGTCCCTTTGACTTTGGCCTTGAAACTACAGACACTCCGGTAAGCGGTAGCTTTGGTTAATTATGACTGAAATTGAATCATGTTGGAAACAGTGAAACTTGCTTTTGCCCAAACAAGCCTGCCACTTTGTATGGTGGTGCAAGCCTTGCGTGAAACAGGGCCACCACTTTCTGCATTATCAAGCGAAGGCATAATCGATTTCTAATGCACTTGCACACATTCAAACTTGGGGCTTGATGAGATTTTGGCTTCTACCGTACTTTTCTTCAAAAGTACATCTACTAAGAAATATCTGTTTTTAACCGATTAAAACACGATTAGCGTTTTTGAAAAGAAAGCCGACAGGCGTAACAATATGTTGGACGCCCACACAAAATGTCTCCAATAATACTATAGGTTGTATTCTATGGGGCCAACATATTTTGCTGCTGTCTGCTGTCAAGTTCACGAAACTTTTCCATGGATTACTATAAAAAATCTACTAGAGCAAATGAAATAATCGGTAAGTCAATAATATGGATTTAGTTTAAAAATCCTTAAATAACTCTACCGCTTTCATTAACGATTTATTAAAGAACGAAAATACTTATTGAATGTTCTTTCAAAGTATTAAGCTGTTGCTTGGTTCAATGATTTAACAAAACATGAAACATGTATAGAAATACGTACCTCGCCATTTTTGGTTTTGTACATAAAACTAAGCTGAGCTTGCATCTCCAGTAGCATGCCCACCGTAGGTGGGTCACCGGGACACAAGCCGACAAATCGATATGTTGGAATCGATTCCCAAGTCTCGACGTATTTTGAGAAATAGGTGAGGTTTGAAGCATTGTGTCTACTTGGATGGTGTAGGAGACTCAGACAGTGGTGCATCGCCTCCTTGCCCTCCTTTTCCTGTTGCATCCCCGAGGCATCCACAACCATGCCGGCCGATTGAGCACGGTGGGCGAGAGCAGATAAGACTACGGCGTGCAAAAAGACAGACGACCGTCTTTAAATAATCACTTAGTGGCCCTAATAGTGCATAAATAAATTTCATAGATTGTTGTACAGAAACAAATTGTAAAAGATTTCATCCAATAATTTCCATCACGAAGCTACAAGGAAGTATAGCCCTACTAATTTTAAAACCAGTAGACATTCTTTTTACACAGGCATGCTTTGAACGGCACCTGACATCGAAAGAAACTACTGCAAAAGGCATGCAACTTAAACCAAACTTTGCTAGCATAAATGAGTAGCATTTACTAGGTTCTTTTGCTTTAGCATTTACGAATCACAATTGAAGAAGGCTTCAAATGTGTCAAAATGATGCCAGATTTCTACGAACCAAGTAGACAGGAGCCATGACCAAGTCAAAACCGTAATACTTCTCTTTCAAGATTACCTTTACTTCGGGTGACGTTAGTCAAAATTTGAATAAAAATGTCAATACGGACTTTGGTACATCTGTCAATCTATTCCCAACACCAAGAAATTTTCCGTAAAGTAAAACAGAAGACAAAAAATGAAATTCGCGCCTTGTATACAATCAATAACGCATAATTTGTTCCACCAAAGTTGCACTTTACATGCACATTGGCCTACAAAAGCCGATTTCATTAGATCGATATTCGAGCCTCGAAGATCCACCAACATCCTTAAAGGAAGTCACCAGAGGCTGTTGTGGTCATTCTGATAGTATTACTTGAGTACCATTAACCGATGCTGGGTCCTCCCTGAATAAAACAAGGCAAGAAAAATACCATTATGGTAACCGCTCCACCAAATTCCTTGTTGATTTTTTCCACTTACAATTTCTTAGGCCTGTTTTGGCGAAAAATGGTCTTCCCTCTTCGCATTTATACCCATGAGCAATAGCTCTGGGCCAGAGCAATAATTGACTTCTTCAGGTCATAAAATAGTAACTGGATTTCAGCTACCAAGTGTTGTTCAAAGGAGGGATCTCTTCTGTCTGATATCAGGTAGTCTTCGCTTACAAGACCGTTAAATAAAACGGACGCAGATCTGGTATACAAAGAAGGCGTAATTCGATGGAACTATACACTGGTGCCAACAGAATATAACCAATAACACGTACCGAAGATTCCTCACCCGAAAGCCATTATTAAAAATTCAAAGCAAGCCATAGGGCTATAGATACCTACCCCTCAAGCTGCCATTTTGTTGATAAAGTTTGGGGATCAAAAGCAAGGCCTAGTCTCCACCATATCATTTAGTCGGTCAGAGTCGTGTTTGGACCAGCGTGGGAAGTGGTGCACACAGCAATTTACGATGGCAACCCCAAGAGAACCGAAGGTGGAGCTGATGCTGAAACGAGAATCCTCTAAGTTGTGGGACTGGTGAAACTTTAAAAAAACCCACTTCGTACATTGGAGAAAGTTCATTGCATATGATAGAATCAGGTAAGGCTTAAAATCAGTCATATTTTGGTTACTTTGTAATGGGTAATAGATTTGATGAGAAATATTTTTTATATTCGGACTTCACCGAAAAAGTGAAAATCCTCCTTATAACATAAAAGACGCGATAGCATTTTTCACGTCAAAATATTAAAAAAAGCATTTCAAAAAAATTTATTGCTCAAAACATTACCAGAACCCTCTGGCAGTAAAGACAAAGCAAATTCACGTCACCTATTCAACACTTTTATTGTCATAAATACGTATTGTGCAAAAGAATCACAAGTAATTGTTGGTTTTGAAACATGTGAAAGCATACACAAAAAATATTTTGAATACATATCTCTGGTCAATAATTTGCAAGATTTCTTACCATGCACACTAAGTTTTGGACATGATTGCACTTAAGCAAATACCACACACTCAAACACCATAACTGCATTGATGGTCATGATGTATCCATTCATCATTTGGCATTTAAAAACAATGAATGACAAAATATTTGTAACCTAAATATCTACTTTCTTACACCGCATGCAAACTAAAAATGATGGAAACACTAATATCACTAAAAGAAATTGCTAAATACAACGAGTAAACTCCAAGATAATAGGAAATATAAATCAAAATTTAACAATTATTCTGCAAACCAATGCACCAATTATACATTAAACAAAAGTGGGAGGCACACTGATCAAAATGGCAAGTAAGTAAAACGCTACTTCAGGTTCAAGGGGGGTACAGGTCACCTCCTCCATAGTATCGATATTGTCAGCGGATTCCAAATTGTTGGTTGGGATAAAAGCGATTCTGGACAGCTAGTCCAACCAGAACCACAACAGATCCCCCAATCACAAGTCCAAGAGCTGCACCAACCAACTGAGAGACTGGAAAATCAACCTTCATGTCACATGGACAAACTTCAGTTTCGTCTAGAATTTGTAGTGAATTATCCTAGCTATTACTAGTCGGTTGAGTATTAAAAGCTTGCAATGTGATGTTTCTCCACAAAAGCACAGCATCATTGTTCATCGGGATTTTGATTTGAGAAGCACAAAGGAACTTCTTAGGAATTAAAGTCAAGAACTTCGGTGAAGGATCAGCTGTGTAATTCATATTTCCATCATTTAAGGTTACATTCCGAATCATAAAGGCGGTGCTCATGTGGTTCTTAGTAACATAGATATGTAGCGCCCACTCCGTCCCAATTACAGTTACTTCAAAGGAAGAGGCATTAAAAATTCTCAATTTAGTTGCTTGCTGACCAAATCGCTGATATGCCTACACAATTTAATCAATAAAATGACACAAAACTTACGTTTTTTACACGGATTTGAATATTAAATTCCCCCTTTATGTATGGGGGTTCGTCTAAGAGAACACGGGTAAACTCTTCTCCCACAGCCTTTACAAAAATGTCTAGACAAGCAAAAAAGACAAAACTACATGAAACGTGCAATACTGAGGATGACATACGTGCATTTGGACAAAATTCAGGCACTGCTTAGTTATTTGTGGAAAAGATAAAGATAGTTATGAAACACTTTATTCAACATTCTATACAGCAATTTTTTTGCATTTATTGCAGTAACAACCATATCAAATAAAAGTGGCAGAACCATCTCCTAAATCGATATTCATTTTTGTGATATCACACCAGTTATTTGAAATTGCATCAATTTAACAAATACCATGAACAGTCTTAGCACACAATGCCAACTCTATTATGGTAAATAATACAAGTCATCATTATGATGGACTGTAAATATTTGAGAATATTTCTCTACTTTATAAATGTGCTAAACACCATTTATAAAACAAATTTCAGAATAAAATTAAATTGTCAACTTAATTAATAATTGACAGTCTAAGACAGATTACATTTTACTGCTCATCTTTTTTTAGCAAAAATTAAGTCTTTAATACCAAACGTAAGTTTAAATGTTTGGTAACTTAAAGAAGTAGAATTCGTGAAGATATAAAACATAAATCGGACAAAATACCATATTTAGAGCAATAGGAAAGCCAAAGAAATCAGAAGCCCGATACACCAGAATGGGCAGGCAAGGTCAACTAAATGTAGGGACATGGCTTCTGCTGCAGCAATCAAATGGTGGCTATAAAATAACAGCCCTCATAGACGGAAAGATATTTAATAATACCTATTTTGCCATGTAAATGGATAAGACCATCCCTCTAAGCGGACGCACACAACCACAAGATAACTCGTAACAGAGAAGGATCGCAGGTATAATCAAATAAGTATATATGTGCTCTTTCCAATTTTAACAGCACAGAGAATATATCGCATTATTTTAATTACTATCAGTCACAGTTGGCTTGATAAATTGGACGTACTTGTGTAACCAACCTGACTATATCAGGCTAAAATATTATTAGCATTACGCAAACATTTAGGCCCCTGGTTAATTTTTCACATCAATCCAATAATAATAGCAAAAACATTTGGTTACTAATAGCCAAAATGTCATCAGCAGCTATCAAGTGCTGCAAAATATAAGTTGCACAGAAATAAATTTTTTAACATTTGTTATGAAAAAACACCACCAAAGCGTAAGAATTTTTTCCGTTTCGCAGTTTTACATGCATACTCCCCGTCAAAAAAACAAATTTTAGCACTCATCTGTATCTAAAGTACATATAGTATTCGAAACTCAACGAAAAGCACCTAATTTTCATTAAGTAGCATTAAGAGACACTTGCATACAAAAAAAACAAAATAGTCACTTACATAACATAACCAACCCACACAGTGACTTCATTGAGGTACCCAAAACAACAAACGGACACAGCGATCAAGTTAACTCCATTGACCTAGTGAACAGTACCATAATAAAACCGAAATGTTTAAACGAAGTAACAGCTACTCAGATTGTCAGTTTATTTACTTTTTTCCTTTTTTACACATTTATGGGTAGTTAAAAAACTTGCAAAATGTAATTTTTGACAACCTAAATTACATCAATTCATGGTCAAAATTACGAAGCTCATTTCCGTAAAAAAAGACCTCTACATTGCTATTTTACTTATGTAAACCTTGTTATATGTTTGATATTTAGCAAAAATAGAGCCATTTGTTGTATGTGCGGTTTCAATGGCTTTCGCGCTCAGCATTGTAACGAATGACACCGAGGAATATTAAAATCAATTTGGAAATAATACTTTAGAGTCTCTAATAAATACATTAGTTTTAAAAAACCAAAGGAATTATTTTATCTGCATTGCCTTTGCATTACTCGTTTGCTGATCTTGCGATTAGGAACATAGACGCGTGACAAAAGTACAGTTACTGAGTTAATATTATCATATTATGATTACAATAATTGATAGCTGGCTCAAGTGCATAATTAGTAGTGACGGTAAACCAATGCCTTTTTAACATTCTGAACTACTAGAGTAAAATCTGCTTTAGTCTGATGTGTAACAATGCATTTCACAAAACAAGTGCTAACTTAGAGATTGCATAATTACCTAAATTTAAGTGTGGAGTTCGTTGATATGATAATCAAATTTTGACGCATGTAAGCATTATTTATCTTCTTTACCCTTTGAATTTGGTCTAAGAAATCTGAGCTACAAAATGAAACTTGAATACATTACGACCATTTTTCTGAAAAGTAATTTTATCTAACACTTAAGTAGGTCACTCGTGTTTGATTGGAGGTTGCAAGACGTTTCAAGACATTTTTTAAACATGATAAATTATCTTGCTGTATTAATGGTGGCTCAAAGCTTTTTCAAAGATGATACCACAATCAGTCTTCTACAAAGGAGAAACGCTTCATAAAATGGAACATGTTAAACGATAACTCTAAGTTCAAGCTCAACAGCTGCTAAAATATTAAAGTAATTCTTAAAAGCACTTCACGTTTTACTGGTTTTCGACCATGAAATAGACTAACGAGCAAACATTTACTTAATTTTTTGCCAACATTAGATCAGAGGTACATTAAAACCAGCTTATTTTACTTGCAAGAAAAATTGTTTAGAAAAAGACCTATTTATAATTAAACATAGTCACTGCTGTTTCTTTACGCTTTTAGAACTTACGACACAACGACATAATTGAAGCAGAAAGACCAAAATAATTAGAATAACCCCAATTATTTAAAAATGGCAAATACCGTGAATAAATTTTTCAGTTGAACTGTCATAATATACCAACCATGGTCATAGCATGCCATTAAGCTCCTCAGCTCATTTGGATTACAATGAATTCACTTATGAATTTAAGCCATCATGGTTTCTATAACTAAAATTAGATGCATTTGATAAATAAACATATGTATCAGTGCAATTTTGCACAATACGTTACCTTAATACACAAATACCAGTGATATAGAAAACCCAAATTCATGAAAAGCAATGAACCCAGCACAAATAGGCTAGCATTCGACCGATCATTATAATTGAAGACGGCAATTTTTGCTATTTTAATATACTGGTAGTAAAAACACACCAAATCACACGAATGCACTGTTAATATTACACCAATTATTTAAAAAAAACACAATACAGTCATTAGCATACTGGAATAGTTTTTTATTTCTACAATAATGACAGGGGTTCAATTACTTATCTGTTGGAATTTCAAGCGTGATGCCAAACACTAGGGTAAAAAGACACCAAATACAGTCAGTAATTCGTATTCAACCTTTGTACACCTCTCTAAAGGTTATAAAATATTTTAATGGATTCTTTCAATTACAAATTAAAAACGCGTGACCATTGTTGTCGAAGTTTTGGAGAAATTTTGGATGTGTTTTTCGTTAACAATTAATTAACAATCTCAATACTAAGTCCTACATCCTTCTTCATTCTAAAAATGAATGTCCTTTTGTATACACAAAAGTTGTTGTTTAAATTTTTTCCAAATGGCGCGATATTTTTGTGGTGTTGAGGGGTGTGTTTTCGTGTTCATTTTTTTGACGTTCATTTTAAATGACAATTATTGTTGTATTTCGCAATGTCTTTTAATGTCCCTTCTAGAAGTACTATCAGTTGCGTGATTGCACAACAGTATTTGGTAATGATTCAGATGTTGATGTATGCGAACGCGTTGATTCTCCTGCAGATTGTGGTCAGATACCGTCGTGACGGGGTTTTGTCTCAAATAGCCAGAATTATTGGGAACTTGAGTATTGCTCCTAGCGTAACTAACCCTAGTGTTTCCGGATTTCTTTTAACTGATAATTGACATTCGAGTCGCTCTTTGTTTGTGCCTGTTTTTTTATTTACTTCAGTATTTTCTGTTTGACTGTGTTTTGCTAGAGGCTCAACTTCAACCGAAGTTGCCATTATCTCGGATGATGGAAAGCAGTGCTCTAAGGTTGTTGGTCCGCATGTCAACCAATGGGTAATTCTGTTAGAGATTTCTCACCACATCGCGCGTGGTTTTTTTCTTAAGTAAATTTCTTTGTAGACGCTTGGGCTTGAAAAAGCAGTGGAACGAACTGTTTTTCTGATTGAATCCGCCTTGAAGAAAGCCAATTTGCCTATCAACACACTTCTCCTTGCCGTTGTAAGTTACCCTGTAGAATTATATCGTTTTGTCGTAGCTGACCATTTCTAACTTAATTTCCGTATTCCCATCATGGAGTTCTGATATTTCCCTTCATTAATTTCTTCACGAATGGTTTATTCAACATTATCTTTTGTAATGGTAGACTCAAGTTCGGTTCAGAATTTTTAATGAAAAATTTAAATCGAAATGTTATTTTTAACTACAGACCTAGTTTTCGTAAATTCGGTTATGTGTTTTCGTGGCGAATAAATGCTGAAGTTCCATCCGGTTTTGGCTTATCTGCTTATGGTAATGTAAAATTTATTAATAAACTTAAAAGGCAGAATTGACTGCATACATGGCCTCGAGGTTTTCTTGCTATAGACTTTATAAAAATGAACAATCGGACATTGGTTTCTAGAACTGATGTTTATCTATTGCCACAGAATATTCACGCATTAACTTGTTTTGCTGAAGTAATTGGTTTCCTAGTTGGATTGTGCCCTGAAACCGAGTTGGTTCTTAGGAATGTATCCGGAGTGGACCAGTCATATATTTTAATAAAAGGGGTTGTCGAAACTTCAGTGCGTGATACTTCTTTAATGCCGGTTGTGCTGATTAGGTCAATGGTGATGTGAAAATAGTATGAAACACTAGGCGAGAACTTCGACTTTTGTACTTTTGCTTCCGGAAATGTTTTTATTTTGGATATGCTACTTGTGCTAATTTATGTGGCGACATGTAGATATCGAGCTCACTAATGTTCACTAATCGTGCTTCTTTATCATAGTCTATAAATTTGGTTAAATGGCGTGGTATGACTTTCCACACTTCTCCGTAATTGTTAAATTAGGACTTGCTATAGTCCCATTCAACTAGGATGGAGCCGTGGCGTTTTTAGACAGCGATAATGGTGCTCTGAGAGAAATTGAGTTATATTACTGAAATTCATGCGGGTCTTATTTAGCTAGGTAATATATTCAATTTTTAATTGCAAACACAGGGTCTAGCACTGAGTGGTATCGATTCGGAGGAAAATGCTCGTGATTTCGAGAATGGGCTTCGAAAGGTGCGACCTGCTCTTGCCGAACAACTGTATGCCTGTAATGATTGTTATGGCACTTTGTTTGCGGTAACTGAAAAAGGTGAGGTTGGCTTCGTGGGTTATTTACTTATCGAGACGCCTCTGCAGTGCTCACTGTATGCATGTACATGGCTTTTTTTCATTTTGTGCTTAAATATATCGGTTAACCCTCTTAGACACAATAATGTTTTATTATTAGTCTTTTATAAAAAAAACCATTACTTCAGGCATTCAAGTGAGCGATTACAGTCGACTTGGAATATTTTGGTTTGTATTCCCATGCACTGATCGCTTCTTCAATCAACAGGGTTACTGCTACGCATCTAGCCTGTTGATGGGTTGGGGTTCACTTGAAGCGAGCTTTCTGTTTTAAACACGGCTTGGAGAATTTTTTGAGAACTGAACACGGAATAAAAGTTGGGGCTTTGAGGTGCCTGTTTAGTCAGTAAGCTGAAATTTTTGTAGGCTTCATGCTGTCGCCCGTCAGCCTTTTTGAGACTTTTGAGTGCTTGGTTTTAGGCATTTACTTTCACTGTTTGAATCTGGCCGTTGGTTTGGCTCTCCTGAACTACTTTTACAAAGCACTTACCACATGGTTCTCAAACCGCACCGAGATGCTAGGTTGTATCGCTCCCCGATTACGTCATGCAGATATTTGGTTAGAGTACGAAGACGGGAGGTGACGGCGACACCTTATTATTGTTAGTTGGCTAAGCTTTGCTTTTGTACTGTGTATGTGCATTCAGGATCATGAATCGTTGCAAGTCTTAAATGTCACTAGGAATGACTTGACAAATGAAGATTGTTGGGGTAGCAAATGTATAAGATACGTGTTTTGAGTAGCATAAAAGGCAGAGGCGCTTGATTATACGTGCTGACATGAGTGACGGTGTCAGAGGCGACAGACGTGAATTGGTATGGATCACATCAGTACTTTTCTAGCACGACCGGCGGTTGGAGGCATTAATGGTTTTTCACACTGGAGGCTGAAACGGTTGAGGGAAGCACAAACCCCTATATTATTAAAATGCCAGTGTAACATCTCGTGTCTACTTTGTACCCATTAGGTGGTATAGTGCTAATTGCTGGGACGGGATCAAATTGCAAGTTGATACGCGAGAATCTCTCGGCCTACGGTGTTGGCGGTCATGGTCACATGCTTGGAGATGAAGGATCTGGTGAGTTCTTAATTCATCGCTTCCTTGATGTCGGCAGGGGTTAGTCTGTGCTGGGCTTGAGATGCGGTGCTAGCGTTCGTGCATCATGCTAGAATAAAGTCGAGTTCATAATCCTGCATCTAGCTAGGTTGTAATTTTTGTGGCGAAAATAAACGTCGATTCCCAGTTTAAACGTAACGAATAAATGTAAATATTTTGGTCCTTAGTTTCTTTTCGTGCTAAAGGTAATAAACCAAGAACACGTGTTGGTTTGTTTTTTGTCAAAAAATGGAAATATTATGAAGGTATCATTGATTAAACAATTGCTTTGTTTCGTGAGTAATGTTGCGTTAGTTTGTTTTAAAAAGTGAAAACTCGAACACAAGTTTTTCCAATTTTCATTTTTGCACCGAAACATAAACCTACCGCAATTTTATCACAATCACTCCAATCTTGTGCGTGGGTTTCAAATTCTAACATATTTTGGGTTTTCAATATGATTTTCTTTCTTCGTCTCGTCAACCAGCTTTCTGGATTGCTCATCGCGTGATTAAAACCTATCTGGATGATGATGAGGGCCTCGTTCTTACATCGTTCGACACCAGTGCTGCGAAGAAGGCTATCTTTGATTATTTTGGTTTGCGACATAATGTGGATCTGCTCGAACCTCATTATCATTTCGAGAAGAACTACTATTCAGGATTATGTCAAAAAATCGCCGAGTGTAAGTTTTTTTTGCGATGTACGGTAAAATGCAAGACGCACTTGGTGCTTTTACAATTGATCATTTTGCTGTGCACTACCAGTGGCTCGTGCTGGAGACGCTCTTTGTCGCCACGTTTTCTACGAAGCCGGTTTTTTCCTTGGCGCTCACGTCATGGCAGTTCTTCAAAAGGCAGATTTGGTATTTATTAATTAATTTAACCATTTAAATCATTATTTGCTAATTTACTCAATCTCCTATTTATTATTACGATGTCACTTGCCATTTGGTTTACTTTTCTTTGTATTATGAAGCAGTTGTTAATTCTACCCCACGTAGTTTCTGTAGTTCTACTTTCTGTCGTAATAACTTTGAAATTCGATACCACCGTTTGCTATTTTCAATTAGTGATGTTTCAAAATCTGTACCTATATAGTGGTCGCAAAATATTGATTGGAGTTCGACAAGTGATTTTTTCGGAAATTCACAGAACTGCTGATCACAATAGTAGGCAACAATTGTTGTAGCTAATTTTAATGCAGGGTCACTAAAGTAGAGGTTGCAAATTTAATTTCATTTGGATGGGCAAGCGCGCGGTCTAATGAAGGCTCCCTGCCTTTCTACACTTAATGGCAAATTAGCCACCCTTCCCATTTTCGGTGCAGTTACTTGGTTCTGGTTATTCAAACTCGTATTCATATAGAAAAGTGTTCCAACTACCTAGGCCACATTGTTTTCTCACTAGAAATGACTAGTATGCCATTTCCAAAGTCACACATAGTAAAACTAACCGAAATTACTGTGCAAGTGTTCCGTACATGAACGTATAATGCTCCCCATTGTTTTTTTTATTTTAGTCCTGGCGAATGAACTCTGAAGGTGTCAATATTGTTTGCAGAGGAGGTGTTTTTAATAGCTGGGACCTTCTCGAGGCAGGCAAGTGGTCCTTTGTGCTCTCATTAACGTCGAACTTCGCTTAATTTGTTGCATAAAAAGCAATTTCAGTTCCCTGTGCTCCTGTTAAATTTTAACCGATTTTGGTGCGTCTCGTTTGTCATTTGTTTAAAGATAAGCCGGCATCAAATCGTTCTTGACGAAAGCGTCACGAGTAAAGGTGGTGTCATCAATAATTGCATTTAGCAAAGATTGCACGTGGTAATATTACAGTACATTAAATTGGGCTTTTAAGTACCGTGTCGCGAAATGTTGGCCCAAGGTTCAACAACTGTGCCTCGAAAAATACATCTGACTGACGCTGGGTTTCCGCATATTCGAAGAGAGTAACATGGCTGTGTCGCTTCCAAGAGTTCCATCATCTGATTGGTTTTAAAGTTACTACTTATACGTGGTGATTGCGTGACTGGTGAATTGAAGTGTTTGGCAGGGACGTTATGTACGACAACATAGCAGACCACATATCGACTTTACACACCACTTCCTTTTCTACTTCGAGGTTTCAGAGATCGTGTCACCCCGGATATTGAAACAAAGAAGATTGTCCATTCTATTCGTCTGGTTTTTATCACATCATCAGTGGCTGTCGGAGCGGCGTTACTTGCGGCCCATGTCAAATTCCATCTCGACCTTCCTCGAAACCACAGTTATCAGCTGCTGGCTGAATTCCGAGCGTAGTGTTTTGTGAAAATTTTGCTTTTTTGTACTTTCTAGTTCCATCTTTGCTTTCCATGATATTTGTACTCAAAAACTTACCCAATTCTCCTCTACTGCCAATTTTCTTACAATGGCCTTGCAGATATAAATGCTTGGTTTTAAATTGTTTAGTAACCTGAGCCACAAAGAGGTCGAGTTAAATTACGCTAGCTCTAAATATTAAACTTCTCTTGTTTCATAAGGACTGTTTAGAACTCGATGTATGAAGCGGCTTAAGGTTGCAGGTTCGTTTAGGTGATTCAATCAGCTGTTTGCTCCCTCAATGCATCCGCAGCTTTCGAGAAGGTGATCTCGCAGATGAAACTGTAGTGGACTTTTGCAAAACGAGCGTGAGTGAAGCTCATTCACGAGTTGATCGAACGTCATCGACTGTCGATTAGAGTTGATGTTCGAGATGCGCTCACACGCTGTGATGTAAAAGACTTGGGTGGCCAAATGTATATAGATCGTTATTCCACCATCGTTCTTGCTTTTCTTCTCGAGCGGTTACGGGTTGTTTGCAGGTTGTTAACTAGAGGGTTGTAAGGTAGTGGTTAACTCAACCACCAGAAACTCGTGACTGGAGGCTCATACTGACTTCGTGCTAGCGCACTCTGTTTGGTAACGCGACCAAGGCTCAGTAAACACTAGTGGCAATAAAGCAGGTTGCTGGCCGAAAGGCAGTATTGCCAACTCAATACTAGTGACAAATCAGGCTTTGTCGGAGTATGGTTTAATTAACCTGCAAGATCTAGGGTCACACACATTCGTAACTTGAGTTCCGGTCATTCTATGTGTCGGCGTTTGACTGAGGGGTTGGTTTGAGTGGTACCTTGGAGGTGGGCGTGGAGGCAGAGGGAGTGGGTCGTGGCCCCTTTGGTACCTTCAATTTACCAGCCAGGACGTCGCGGACCTGGTCGCTGCTCAGAGTTTCGAAATAAAGAAGTGCTTCGGCCAGCATTTGATGTTCCGAGCGATGCTTGGTTAACACCTCACGAGCACGCGTCAACGATGCGTTGAGAAGGTCGTCTACTTCGCTGTCAATGGCGTCACGAGTCGTTTGACTGAGCTGGAGGCCTTCTTCGAGACTGCCGGAAAAAACCCTTGGTCCGAGTTTTTTCGAAAAGCCAAAACGGCTAACCATATTTTCTGCGATTGAAGTAGCCTTCTGAAAATAAAAACAGAAAATAAGCACCAGACCGCTTTAAGAGATTCCAGCACCTCAAGTGAAATCTTGGTCACAACTAGTCTAGCTGTCTTGACTAATAACATGGAGAGGTTTCGTGTACTTGCAGGCAGTTTTTACTAGTGTGTTCATGTCTAGTGCAAATAATTTAGTTCCCACCAGAACGTGCAACAGAATACAATTTGATTTTGATCCTGAATTCATTAGATGGCTAACACTGTTCTGCAAATTGACCGATTTGATTAATCGAAAGCCATGATTACTTAAAGAATTCAAAGCATCAAGGTTAAAAAGGTATTCCGATAATTAATAACTAATATTAATTGAAAATGTATCGCCAAACTTGCTATCTTTAAATAAAGTTGAACACACTTTAAAGTCGTCACCAGCACCAGTGGTTACGCGATCCTGGCCGAAGACCATCTCCTCACCAACACGCCCCCCCATGAGCACATCCAATTGAGCGATAAGCTGGGATCGGGTCCAGAAGCTCGAGTCTTTGTCCTGCAAAAAACTGGTGTGGCCGCCCGACTCGCCACGAGGAATAATGGTCACCTAGAGGCACGAGTGAACTTCGTAACTAGTTCAAATACACTAATGTTCAGTGTTTGCGCGGTGGACAAGACATGAATGCGATACTCTGTTGGAAACGAAATCATGCGATCGATGGTGGCGTCTTACCTTGTGCAAAGGGATGCTGTCGGACGTGTATAGTGTCATTAAAGCGTGACCAGCCTCGTGGTATGCCGACACTTTGTTGCTTTCTTCATCCAGCGGTCGACGTTTGGCAGGCCCCATAAGCAGGCGGTCGCGAGCGTCCCAAAGGTGAGCCATCGTTACTTCAGAGTCCTCCCTCAAACCAGCTGTTATTGCAGCCTGATTAACGAGATTCTGGATATCAGCGCCGGTGTAACCTACTGTTCCCAGGGCCAGCTTATTTACATCCACATCTTCAGCTGCTCTGATCTTCGCTAGATAAAGATTAAACAGAGCTATTCGACCCTTGAAAGAAAGAAGAAAGTGTGTCACAATAACGGAAAACGGAAGTTGTCTAGCACGAACTTTGGTTAGTGTAAAACGCAAAAGGTAGAGAACTTGCTTAGCTAATATAACGAATTACTATTTCGAAAACTCACTTCCAGTCAACTGAATTATTTAAAAGCAGAAAAAAACATTAAAAGATCAGACAAATAACTAATGAGACTTCCAACTAAAAGTAATCAATGATAATCTAAAAAGACACGGTATGTAGGGGACAAATCATTTTCTGCACGAACGTAATTTAGCCAGTTGGTAAATTCAGGTTGGTGGAAGTGTAAAACCAAAAGTGGTCTGTCAGTAAAAGGGATGACAACTTGCCAGACAAAATTTAACCACATGCACATGTTATAATGTCATCATCAATGGGAACAGAAGAATGCGCGGATCCTTCTTCATATTTAATGTTAGTGCCACATGTTTAGCATTAAGTTACACCCTAAAACTACAAAGTGCTTCAAAAGAAGAGGCTTTATTTATTCGCATGGCACAAGTGAAGCTAAATTTCTTGCGCCCAGTTTACAAACACACTGGCATAAAATTCCACATAAGCAGTGACCACAGTAAACGAAGAGTTTGTAAACAAAAACATACCAACACGGCCACAATGTGGATTATGTTGACACTTATTAATGATTATTGTACAACGACCGAAGACACACAATTCCCCATTATCAGAGCGTTGACTTATAAGGATAACAAATTGAATTAGTGTGGTAATAAATGTCCAAAGAAATAAAATGAGTCGAATGGCACATTTGCAGGTCCCCGTTTATATAATTATAGTAATTACTCACCTCGTAGCTAGGTGGGGACACATAGACTTGGAAGTCGAAGCGTCCTGGTCTCAAAAGTGCCTTGTCAAGGTCGTCGCGCTGATTTGTTGCTCCAAGAACAATAATCCCTTCAGATGGTTCGAAGCCATCCATCTCTGCTAGCAGTTGGTTGATAGTCTGATTTGCGTAGGGGTGATGCGGTGATGAGGAACGAAAACGACCGACAGAGTCTATTTCATCAACAAAGATTAGACAAGGGGCGTGCTCCTTGGCTGCAGCAAACAGTTGACGAACACGAGAGGCACCCATGCCAACGAAAACTTCCTCAAAACTACTTCCAGATACGTAGAGAAAGGGAACCTTAAAGCAACAACAATGACACTCTTAGGTAAGCTCCACCAAAAAGTCCATTCTAATATAGTTGAGCTGGATTGAAATTAAAACGCTTCACACAAATAGATATACATTGCTCTAATTGATGAAATCGAACTTTTTATTACTTAAGGAGTCTGTGATGACTCTACCGGTTCTTGTACTAGTACCAAAGAACGATGATCGATAAATGAAGACGTGGCTAGTCTGATAGGTTTTGTGCTTATTCCATTACAACATGAAAAAATCAAAACGAAAGAATAGCGATACAAATGACAAATAACCACACTCAATGGGTTTCATTTCATGCTGTAAAGGCCCAATGTTAATAATGACATTGAAGAAAGACATAAATGACACATACCTGAGCTTCGCCAGCCACAGCGCGAGCAAGAAGCGTTTTACCTACACCAGGTGGACCGACCAGAAGAACACCCTTTGGTAGCTTTGCTCCAAGTTTGTTAAATTTTTCAGGATTGCGTAAAAACTGAACAATGTCTTCGAGCTCTTTCTTCACTTCATCGCACTGCATAATGAGAAGGAAATTGCAACTACGAATTACCATGCCAAGTGCTTAGTTGCGGTCGACTAACGCATCAATTTAATAGGTAACATACTCATTTATTGGTAACATTGTTTACAATGTTAAACACAAGAAACTGGAATTTCGGGGAGCATATAGGCAAAATACCTATCAGAAATACACATTCTCAAAATTAGAATAGTTTCTATTCAGTACTAAAAGAGTAGGTTCAGTGATTCTTTCGGCATTTAGAACATCCGTTGTGGTACGGAATTCACACTACATATGTATTCCCACACGTAATAACCGACGTGTGTTGATGCTTTTTCAAAAGCAGCAACAAGATCTAAAGCGCTTTTACTAAATAGGGGTAATAAGTATAGGTTTTATCAAAATTTAAATAAGTTATTATGTCGACATAATTTGGCTGCAGACATAAAAGTGGTGATTCCGTGGATTTTAGAAAAAATCAGTCCAGGTATTTAGCCAGATTAAGAAAAAAAGACGTACGCCCTGCACATCTGAAAATCGCGCATCAACATTTTCGGCAAACGTGGCCACACTTGAATCAAATAATTTTGGCAACCCTCCGCCCAGGCCACGATCCGAAGACCTGAGCAAATAAAGCAGCACACCAGTGACCAGGCTAAACATAAGCAGCCTCAGTATTAGAGTAGTGATAGACTGAACTATACTTGTCTTGCGCTGATTTTCTGACGAAGACTGGATACCGCGCCTATAGGCTTCGACGAGCTGTAACTGAACTGATGGCGTGTAGCCTTTAAGAATATCAGCCAAGTCATTTTTGGGAGGGGTTTTTTTAGAACTTCTGGGTTCAGGTGAACCGAAAACACCACGATGGCTAGAATCTTTAACAAGCCACCTGTTAATAAATTGTGCCGATGGAATCCGCAAGGGAAAAGAAGACGGGAGGATTGGAAATAATTTGCGGGCAGTTATGCTTTTGTGCAGACATCGCTCACAGCTTACGAGGGCACTCACTGGATTTGTAGTCAAATGGACAAGACGACTGTACATGGCTGAAATGAAAAGAAATGAACAATGAAATCAGCTAACGAGGACTAAAACACAAAAATTCTAAAGATTTGGATATTTGTTCCTGGGACCAAAACCAGAACGTGTTGCACAAATTGCACCTACTAGCTAGAAATATATTAGATTTCATTTAAAAAAGCTAGACATGGATTGATCATTCACTTCACCACAATCTAAAACGTGAAGCTGGATGCTGAGGTTCTCAACGACTTGCAAGGATGCAGTCGGCGTCTAGATTACTTAAGGACCAAGAAAAAGAGCTCGAGATAAAAAGTGGAGTAACTGCTAGGACTATCAAAATCGTGAATACATGTGCGAAGTTTTAAAAGCTATAGAACCATAAGTGATAAAAAGGTTTCGAATATGTTATGCAGGAAGCGTTTAGTAACGATATCATGAAGAAGTGGCCAATCATCAATCACTACCTGAACAAATTTACGGTAATTAATTGATAGACCTAACATACATTAGACAGATAAATCGTGCATTTATTTTAAAAAATCCACAAATAAACTAAATTAAGCAAGCAAACAAGAAGGAATTAAGAATAACTTGAGTGGTAGTGTAGATGTGGTGTGGTGTGGCGTCGGATTAGGGCGCAGACATGTTGGGTCACCTGGCCTCAGCCAATCCCGTGTCTCTCTGCGATCCAATGGCATGCGGGAATGGAAGGCAGCCAACCAGAGAAGGACATGGAC